TCAAGTTCGTCGCCTTAATTATAGTACTGTTATATCAAGTTTAGATGCGGCGAGGTCCATGTACTACAATTACTTTCACTCACGAAGAACCGCTTTTTGAAGGTACATCTAAATACTGTAATCATATAAAAAAAAAAATGACCAGCTGAAAGCAACCGAGTTTCATCATTACCATAAACGATGATCAGCTTAACATCTGTCAAAATTACCCATTAGGGCTAACGGCTAACAGTTGATTTATTTCCGTTATGTTTAAAAAAATATGTTTTTTCGGTTAACTTTCTTTACGACTAACGATTAAAAATTTGTTAATTTTTATGCCTAACGGCTAATGTTTTTTTTTTTTGTCTTTTTTTTTGCCGTCTTACGGCTTACCTTTACTTCGATTAAGACCCCTCGATAAGAAGAAGCCTGGGAATTCTTGAGTACTTGAGCCAATTCGTTAATATCATCGAGCCCCCTGTAAAGTTATCACGGACTCGATGAGGTTAAGGAGGTCTTATCGAGTAACATGACTCACCCAAGAAAATGCCTGAACTTAATCCAGTTACAAATTATCCACGAAAATCGCTAGATTTAAAGTGATGTGGCAACTTATAGAGGACATCAATAAATTCAGTGAGAAGGTAGTTTTATGATAATTACAACGAGTGTCATTAATTCGCAGAATAATGAAAAAAAAAAATTCAAAAGAGACTATTATTTCATTTACTTTTTTAGAAATATGCTGTTCGGGGCAAGCTGAGATTGAGGAAGTGGTAGTGGACTTCATTCTTTTCTTAGTAGTAAACAATAAATATGGGTAAAAAAGTTTAATAAAATTTTACAATTATTGTATTAAAAAGATAGAAGCTTTATACGAATTGATCGAATGTAATGTGAACCCAAGTTTTGTAATGTAAACTCAATATTGTAACATAAGTGCATTAAATGATGAAGATCAGTAACCAAAATTCAGGTGCCATTGATTGAAAAATCCTAAAATAGGTCCTAATTTTGAACTGAATGTACTTAATGGGCGAAACACAAACTGTATTTAAAAAAATGGTTCTGTAAAAAGTTGAATTCACTACCCATACCTCAACTTGTCTATCAATGATTTATATGAATCCATCTCTTACAATATCAAATGAACAATTTCGTTATCTTCTAAACCAGCTTGCTAACAGAGTAATATTTCGATTCAGCGAGTGAGAGACTTTTCTGAAGCTCAGGGGCCTTTTAAGCGAATTTTTTGTATCACATACAGCGAAACAAGCGGAAAATAAAACCGCAAAAATGGTAAAAGCTTCCGTGCAGAGTTCTGACAGCTATTTCAGTACGGCTGAGAGAATCTTCGAGACCACTTGATGGACTTGAAGGCAATATCGCTTTAAGTCGCAATTGCTGTTAAAGATAATGTTGCGTAGTAGGAAAAGTCAAGCACGTTTGAAATTTTTAGCTGCTTGTTTGTATTGATTTATCTCGTACAATAGATTTTTGACCAATCAGAGGACACCTTTTTTCTAAGTTATATCACTCAGTAAATGAGAATCAGTGACTTGATCTCAATGTAAGATTAAATTTAGCATTCTCTCTGACTAACCTCACTCATTTAGGTCATAAAAGCAGTGAACCACACCTTTTTACGGTTAATAGGATAATAAACCACGTGGGATGTTGGGAGAACGCTACAAAGGTTTGTAAACCACAAGGTGCAGCCGAGTAGTTCACAAATCTTTCCAGTCCCCGCTACTTACTCTGGTTTATTAGCCAGTAAACTGATAGAAAGTATGGTTTATTGCGTAAATATAATTTTTTCCAAAATAGCGCTACAATGTATATTGAACCATTTGATAGTAAAAGGTACTTGCTTTCCTCTAATGGGAAGCTTCATATGGATATCTGCATTGCCAGAAATTTGGGACAATATGGCGGAGGCGGCTCTCGTGTTACAAGCAAAATGGCGCCGAAACAGAATAAGAAAATGTATGGGAAAGATTGTTTTTTCAAACTAGCTGTGTAAGAATGGGATATTCTTTCGCTGCGTACTTGGGAATGTAGCCTGCATCGGTTAAAGCTTCCATCGCTACGAAAAAGAAATACTCAAATTCAAGCCTGCCTTTTCCCAAGGTATACGAGTAAACTCATAATTCTGACTCCATTTTCCCATACAATCTCTTAAAATCTGCTTCGACTAGGTGTTACAATTCTTTTGTCTTGAGAACAACCTTGTAAAGATTCGCAAGGTTTTAACTTCCGTGAGTGAAACTGTTGGTCAAATTTGGTCCGGGACGGGGTGACATTGTTACCAATGTGAACAATGCCCAGTCTTTTCGAGAGTCAAGTCACTTTCATAAGTTTGATCTAGGAATAGCATCGGACTGGATTGTCGAAACGGTATATGCGAAAAAAATTCTCCCTTTTATTTCGGTGAAAGGAGGGGGTTATTGAACTCTAGATTATTGTAGAGTTTGCTTATCTCAGGCATCATCGTAAACAAGCATATTCACATTTGTACACCGGTTGACGTATCTGGGTTACCACATTCTAATATTGCTGTTTAGTGATACTAAAGTGGTAAATCTACCGGACCTGTACGGTTAGGCACCTTGCAAAGTATTTTTATAACACCACCTGCTCTAAATTCTGGCATCCTTATGGTGTAAACAATTGAATTTTCTAAAGAACTAGGCTCGATTACCAGCGGCTGTACGGGAATAGAATTTATTTCCATCACGAAGGGTCGTTTTTAACTAAGGCAAATCTCATCTTTTATCTTATAACAAAACCTGGCAAACTGAAAACAGCGAATGGATTAAAATATCAGTTGAAAGTTTTTAACAAAACGCTATTGGCCAATTTGATTAACTTTACTAGGCATCTAATGAGTGGTTTGCTTTGGAAAGAGGGAGATAATAGTCCACCTGTAAGACCTCACTTGATGATGAAGATAAAGCTTTGCATGAGAAAAAAAAGGCTTAACCCAGCCTCAATTCTTGAAAAAAGCATCAGATACCCCAACGGGGTTCTGTTTTACCAACGATCTGAGGCACTGCTACGTCCCCCGAACGTATTTTTGTCGACATTTTCCTCCGCTACGACGCCGGTCAACTTATGCAAATACAGGACGCTTAATGTTTTCTTTTCGTAGACATTGTTAGCTGACAGGATGGGCTACTTGATAATGGGCTAGCAGTTGGAGAAGTGTTCTTTAATCTGGCGAGGATTTTGGCAACGGAAAATTCGACATAGCCTAATTTTTTTTCGGTTTTTTGAGTCTTTCGAGTTTTCGATAGATTTCAAATGACGACTTGCGCACAAAAATTTATTAAAAATAGTAGTGAAATTAAACAAGGGAGACTCCCACACCACTAAATTATTTAACAGACGCGCGAGTTAAAAATTTTCGGAAGCAGTGATCAGCTATTAAACTTTCACTTGAGGGAAACTATGCTCTTCGTGTCACTGTTTATCTTCGACTCAAAATAAAATTTCAGCTTGAGTTTTTTTTAACACTTGAAAATTGTATTCGATCATACTTAATCTTCCAATTGCACTCGAAATCATTTGATTACCTGTAACTACACCGCAAGGTTTACCGTGTGCAATTATTTCCGATTTCAGTTTCCTCGCTTTGTATTTAACCCAAACTGGCGTTGTGTGATCTACTGCAGTAGTACTTATATTTGCCTGTTTGTCGACATACTTTCACGCCTTGATAACGCATCGATCGATGTAGTGATCTTTCAAACCGTAACTACGAGTTGAAGGTCAAGAATCTATCATAGTCCTAATACTCTGTTTAAAGGTTCCGAAAATATGCAAAGGAGCTTATTTTCGGAGGGGGATATTTTTCATACTCGACACGCAAAATGAACACAAAATAAAACCAGAACATTTTTAAAGAATATTTTTTTAAGATTTCTTTTATCTAGTTATTACTATTAGAAGAAGCAAAATTAGTTCTATTAGTAACTTATTATCATTCAATTCGTTTTGTCATATCATCAACCTTCGTTTTACTTGTTCATTTCAGTGGCTTCGGCTGAAAATTAGCAAGGCCCAATCCTTGGGGAAGAACGATCGAGGTGGAGGGGGCAAGCTCCTGATCCAAGCCTTAAGATAACTTATTCCTCGAATAAGCGCCCGCGCTCTGATAAACACCCTTCACCGAGTAAACGCGTACCCCCTAGACCATGAAGTCCAACAAGCGCCCCTTTTGAATAAGCGTTCCCCTCCTTTTTACCGAAAAGTCTACTAAGAGTAGGGATACAAAGAAAACCTGTGTTTCTATTGCCAATCTGTAGATAACTAACTAAGCTTCGACTACAACGGAATCGTTCAGTCACTTCCAATTAATCCAATCTCCACACTGACTCTACGTCCATGAGGACAATGCTTTACTTTTTGTCTTTTCATTAAGTGTTTAGCCAAAATAAAGTTGCAGTACGTTGAAACGAAAACTTAAAAAGCGCTCCCCTCTCAGCGCCCTCCCTCCGATCAGTGTCCTGCCTTTTGGCAGAAATTTTAAAAACAGGCAGCCGGCAACTTTTTCGAAAATGTACAGTATTTCAAGTTTTTCGTTATTCATTTGCAGAGGTTCTCGGACGGAAATTATTTTTTCTAATTTGAAAGCAAGAGAGCTAATCTGAAACTTAATTTCAAGTGAAAACAGGTGAAATAAAGTACTCTTTCCGTGGACGAAAACTAATTCGAAAAAGAAAAAAACATTAGATTCTTGAAAGGTTACTGTGTCGACATCTGGTTTAAAAAGTAATTTAACTCCTGTCTAAGCGTCAAGCTGAACTTCAGAGAAAGCAGTAATGTCCTTCTCTTTCCCATTTTTTACAGTCACTCTGATTTGGGACAAAGATAGATCATAAAAAACGAAGTTTTTCAGTTATATTTAAGACCACATATTTGTCACTGCTATAAAATAATGACTACAAAATCATCGGAGGTTTCATACCACACAAGGTTTTTTCGATGCTGATAAGACAAGCAACGTGAGAAGAGGATTTTCCAATGCGCATTTATTTGAACTTTTCCAAATTTAAGATTTCATAGTCTCAGAAACCTGTACAACTTACGAGACTTGCATTACAAATAATACCATTACATAGCCCAATTACAGTTTACTTGTTCTCTACTTTCTTCCTGGAGAACTAAAAATATACAAATAATATTTGCAAACTAATATTTACAAAAAGAATCCTCATTAACACTTTAATATGACCATGTGACCAAGTGACCATGTGAGCCCGTGATCTAACCGTCCGCGTGAGAGTATTCCTGGTAGGAAGGACTGTTGTCGGTCATTCCGATTCAAAAATGCGACTGATTACTTAAGCGAAAGTAATCATCCTACTCTTGATAGAATCCCTTTACCCCTTGACTCAACCCATTAATTAAGATATTATAATGCATTAATACAGAAATTACATGTTGATTATGAATTAGTTTATACTTAACAAGCACACGTGCTATGGCTATAAACACTACATTTCCAAAAGGTGACAATCATTGTATCATGGAAGAAGCAAGAACACGGTATACTGGCAAGAAATTTCAGGACCCGATTCTTGTGAAGAGTTTAATTTGTGGATAAGGGATACATGTTAGGGATGGGAGGGCTGACAAGTCCTTAGTGCTGACTCAGCCTCATTTGCATGGTTCGGGGCCTTGCGGAATATTTCGGCCAAACCTTCTCTAAATTCTGGCATCCTTACGGCATACACAATTGGATTTACCAAGGAACTGGCACCAATCAATGCTGCCACTGTCACGTAAATATAAAAAAGGGACTGAAAAGACATCATACTGTCACTCCAAAATATAGCTACTCTGAAAAGGGTAGATGGCAGCCAAGTTAGCAAAGACGCAAGCGTCACAAAAAGAAGGGTGGTTGTGAGTCTTCTTTCTCTTCTGGTTGTACCAGGATGCTGAGGATTGGGACTGCATCGGATTTTCATAAAAATTGCAATGTAAGAGATACAAATAATACTAAGAAAAACTGACGAATATAATACATAACTAAATCTTGAAAACATTATCGTAAGAGACGAACTTTCTTCTCGAAAGTACAAAATATCTTGAGCGATCTCTCTGCCCAAAGTTACTAACCAAACGGCTGCAATGACTATCCCATAAACCCATTTCTTAACTTCTCGATACTTAAACGGGTAAAATGTGGCATGGCGTCTTTCTAAAGCAATGACAGCAAGATTTGCTATTGAAGTTGTAGGAAATAAATCACTTATTATGGGAAATATACGCCTCTCTTTTGAGTCTTGGTAAAACTGAAATAAATAAGCAATAATCACAGGCCCAGAGACAGCTCCAACCAAGAGATCCACTACTGCTAAATGAATGATCAGATATGTGCTTCGGCGCTGTAGCTTGCGCTGCTTCACAAAGACAATGATGGTAATGAAATTAAGGATGACTATGGCCAGACATTCAGTAATGCTTACAACAAGCCACGGGATACAGTCTGAAGAACCACACACGGTGAAATTCTTTGGTTCGAAGCTGCTGTTACTGGAATTGACAATATGGTCTTCAGCCATCGAGGAACTGCAAACATTTTAAATTCAGAAAATCAGCCATTTTAAGAAACTGAAAAAATCGATGTAGGGAAGAGTAATCTCCCAATGGATATGAGAAACTCAAACAAGTTTAATGATTATGTAAACGTTAGTCCCATGTTATGGAATGTCTAACAACCGTTGATGGCGATGCTAATAATGTTACGATGCAATCCCCACCAGGCGATGAAGCCGACTCTTAAAGCGTATTTTAAGTCCCTGTTTCATTGCTGCCGAGATGTCTTTGCGTTTTATTTTGTACATTTGAGACTCATTCTCATTCCGATTAGTGTATGTTGCTCTTTGGGAGTATCTTTGTAGTTTTCGTTTGGGGGAGGCATGGGAGGAGGGCTTAAAAAAGGGCCCCGGCGGGGGAGGGCTTCTTAGATAGAGGAAGTGGTAGCTTTTTTGAGTGTTGACGATAGATGGTTTTCAACCTTACGTCACCTTGATGTGTTCGCAAAGGATTTTTGCAGCGTCTGTAAAAAGCATGTTATTTACCTTTTTAGTAGTTTGAATATTTCCGCCTCTTATTCACAAGTAATTCCTGCTCCAAGTGTTGTGCGAGTGGGTATGGAGTCACAATATAATCGCCACTAACATCAATATTTCTCAGAAAACACTGGAATGAAAAGTAAGCATTCATTTGAGAATAATCCCAGCGGCTTAGCATTTTCATCACGATATATTTTGGTGACAGCTAGGTCTCAACGTAACGCAAATATAATGATTATATGGATGATAAAACAAGCGACTGATGCGAGCCATGTTTTAGAATTATAACATTTTTCAGCAATACCAGTATTTTCAAAATGCTTATTGTCTGGCATCTCGCTACAAATGATAACCTTAATTCGATAACAATTCAGTCAAGTTGTTTAATTAAGCCTCGCAACAAATGGCACATATTTTAAATTCATAATAAAAACTACAGAGGCCACAAAAAATTTAGCTTTGTCAGACACCAGAAACTGTCCCTAAGTAAGACTGGAAGACTTTCTCGATTTATTCAACATCCTCTAAGCGTCCAACAGAATAAAAACGAGAAATCCAGAACAAAATTTTGTCACGTAGGTCATTTCTGTCAATTATTGTTATCTGCCATATCGATTGCCTTCCTAAAGCCTCTTACAATGAGCCCCTTCAGTGTCAGTCAAACTGAGTACCTCGTTCCTCTATTACTCGGGGAATTTCGATAAGCGGCTAAGAACTTCCCATACGAATACTCCAGATAAACGGAATAAAATTTTAATTTAAATATCGCACCTTGTTTATTACGGTGGCCGTCTTCAATTATTAATTGAACTTAATCGTGAGAGCGAAGTCAAGACTGACATATTTAAGAGCGAGACGAAGTTAAAAGGTATAACTGTTTCCATATATATTATGCGCAGCTGCTTTCATGTGTAAAATCATATTTTGGAATGTTGCCCGTTGTTTTCGACTGTTTGACAATGCCGGGCGACGTCACGTGCCCTTGTTTGCGTCTGAACCCACTCGTGACCATTGATTGCTATTATATTAAGCAAACCAGCTTAAAATAGAAATCTTCGAGCGTTTCCCATCACCAATAAAATGCCTCTTGAGGAAAAATTTTACATGTCTGTGTTTCAATTAACATACCCCACTAACATAATAATGATAGCTGATAGATACTTCACCGTTGTCCTCTACAAGCAATTCAAAAATGGTCTGTCTTGAGGCCGCGTAACTGTTATGGCAACCGACGCCGAGCAGCTGGCGTTTTACTTTTCGGCCGATATCTCAGGAATGAACTCTTATGAAACACTTTAGTAGGAAAGTTTTAAAATGATGCAATAAAAGTTTTCTGTTAACGGGATGATACGAATTCTAATATTTACGCTGAAGGGGCAATTGGTCGAAATGCATCGTGCCGTCTTCAGAGCAACCTTTCGAGACGATAAACTACTGCGATTCACCTTCATAATGCATAGGCATCTTTCTTCCCCACTGAAACAGTACAACATTTCCTTTTAAACGATTATCGAGGCAGTAGATGTTTTGAAAATACCTTTTCATTAGTTCCTCGCTTTAGGAGGCGAGATAATAACTGAACAGACGCGGTTCTTTCCGAAATCTCTTCTTGTCGAAGTTAAAAATACTTGAATGATCAGTCGGTCATTTCGAATGAAAACAACTCACCTTTCATTCAAACTGCTTGTCGTGCAACTCCAGATGATTTGTGATGACTGCAAAGATGTGAATGACATGTATCGCGAAGCGTTCTTCCTTCCCTGTAAACTTCTTCGGGGGAACCACAGACCGTGACGGTGTCGTGAACTTCTTCGGGGAACCCTTGAAAGGGAGGGTGTCATGTTTTCTATTGTTATGTCCGACTTCCTCTACGTCAAAGCCTGCTTAGCTTGTCCACATGCGGTTAGGATGCAAAGCAAGCGATTCTCGCTCACGGCCTCTCCACATATATTTTCTCGCACCGTTATTTAAAGTTTACAGCAATTTGGCCATAAGGCGAAAAAAAAAATGAAAAAAAAAAACACTCTGTCTACTGTGTAATTAACGTTTCTTATACTCGGACGTGCATCTTCAAAAATGACCGCTAAGTTAATCAAGCGATTAAGTATAAATTCAGAAACTTGTAACTAGGTAACTAAACAACCAAGTCATAAGTTGAAAATCCATCTACAAGCTTCGATACTTGAATTCTCAGCATAACTAACCTATCCGGAGCAATGGTAATCATAGCCGATCTGTCTGACTGATCCTCTCCTGGTTTCAGTTTATCTGTTTATCCACTGAAGTTGGGATTGATTTAGGAAATGCAAACCAGCGATCATCGTGTTAAAC